TGCCATAAATTGGGGAATATGATTAACTCAGCATAATGTCCCTGAGATCTCTCCTCCCAAAGAGTGTTTAGTTATATAGTAGTTGCTCAATAAACGGTACTTCCTTTTCCTCTGTTTTAAATTGGTAACTTAACATAGTAGAGAACTGAACTGGGAGTCCGGTGAACTTGATTTTAAATCCTAGTTCTGCTGCTTACTAGCTCTGTTTGTTCATCTCTTTATTCATTCAGGAGCTCTGGTGGCATAGTGATTAAGAGTTCGGCTGCTAACTAAAAGGCCAGCAGTCCGAATCCACCAGCCACTCCTTGGAAACCCTATGGGGCAGTTCTACTCTGTTGCTGTAAGTTGGAATCGACTCGATGGTAACAGGTTTGGTTTTTGCTTTGGTCGTTCATTCAATAAATATTTATTGAGCATCCACTGTATTCTAGGCGCTCTTTTAGGCACTGGGGATATAGCAGTGAAAGAGTGAGTAGATCCAAGTTGTCATGGAGCAGTTGTGACGTTGAGGAACTCACTTCTGAGCCTCAGTTTCCTCGTTTGAAACACGGGGATAGCAATTATTCACAGGATCAATGAAAGGACTCCATGAGCTAATTTGCACATAGTGCCTGACATAGTTACAGATGCTTAACTGATTTTAGTGCCTATCTTTTATGTAAACTGCCCCACCCCTCTTCCATGAAGCTTTCCTCAAATAACTTCAGTGGTTCTGGTCACCCATTACTCAGTATCCAGTCCATTTCTATTTAACAAATGTTTATTGAACTCCGACAACGTGTAATGCGAGGTGCTTTAGGGTCTACAAAGGGCATGCTCCTATGGTGCTTACAGTCTAATTGGTAGGGATGAGGTAAAGTTACGAATAAATAATATATTAAGGAAGTTTAAAAGAGGGAGCTATTAGGTCCAGTTAGGGTGATTAAGCAAGCTACAAGATAGAAGGTATATTTGAGAGGCCCTCAAAGGATGGGTAAGATTTGGAATTCCAGGTGAGCATAATAGCTATCAATTTTTGAACTCCTGCTATGTGCCAGGCATTGTGCTAGATATCTTCTACATATTTTCAAAACTTCACAGCAGTCTTTACACACATATATCTTTTGACTGTTTTTGATATTGTTTCAAAATTATATATGCCATAACAATTATCAACAGGTCTTTTTTTCTTGTGTACGTTTTAGTAACATCATTTACCTTCATCAAGCTGTGTACACTTCACTCTCATTGGGGGTTACCTTTCCCATCACCAAAAATGACAAGTGTCCAGAGAGTGAATCTCTCCTCCCACCACCCCATCCCTGGTAACCACCAATGAACATTGGTTTCTGTATATTTACCTGTTCATGTTATTTCATAAAAATCAGAATGTACAATATTTGTTTTTTTTTTTTTTTTGTAATTACTTCACTCAACATAATGTCCTCTAGGTTCATCCATGTTCCAAGATGTTTTGGGAACTCATATTTCTCTATCACTGAGTAGTATTCCATTGTATGTATGTACCACATTTTACTTATCCATTCATCTGGTGATGGACACTTAGGTTGTTTCCATCATTTTGCTACTGTGAATGGTGCTGTGATGAACATAGATGTGCATATGTCTGTTCATTTTTGCTTCTATTATATCTCTAGGGCATATACCTAGGAGTGGAATTGCTGGATCGTGTGGCAGCTCTACCTCTAGTTTTTTGAGGAACCACCAGACTGTTCTTCACAACAACTGTACCATTTTGTATTCCCACCATTAATGGACGAGATTTCCAATTTCTCCACATAATCCCTCCAACATTTGTTATTTTCCTTTTTTTTAAATCTTGACAATCCTAGTGGGAGTAAAATGGTATCTCATTGTGGTTTTGATGTGCATTTCTCTGGTGGCTAGTGAGGTTGAGTATCTTTTCATGTGTCTGTTGGCCATTTCAGTATCGCCTTTGGTGAAGTGTGTGTTCATGTCCTTTGCCCAGTTTTTGATTGGGTTATTTGTCTTGTTGTTGTTAAGTTGTAGAAGTTTTTTTTATATATTTTATATATTAGACCCTGATCAGTTATATAGTTCCCAAAGATTTTTTTCCCAGTCTGTAGGTTGTCTCTGTATTCTTTGGATAGTCTTTTGGTGAACATTAAGTGTTTAACTTTTCTGAGGTCCCAGTTATCTATTTTGTTTTCTGTTGCTCCTGTATTTATTCTTGTGTTTGATAATCTATCATTGAAAAATACTAGGTCCTGAAGCTTTGCTCCTGTATTTTCTTCCAGGAACATTATGGTTTTATTTTATGTATTTACTTATTTTTTGGCATTAACAAAAAGTCCAAATTCAGGGCGCCAGCTCTAGGGGAAGGTTCTCTCTGCCCACTCTTGGGAAAAATCTTTGTCTTAGCTTCTTCTTGGCATTCCGTGGCGATCTCCATGTGGCATCTGTGGTTCCTTCGTTCCTGATTGCTTCTCTGTACCTAATCTGCTCTTTTTATATCTCAAAGGTGACTAAGACACACCCTACACTGATAAGGTCTCATTAACGTAACAAAGAATGTCCTATTCCCAAATGGGATTACATCCATAGCTATGGGTTTAGGATTTACAACAGATATTTTGAGAGAACACAATTCAGTCTGTAATAAAAGCCCAAGTCTACATTATCAGCAAATTGTAGCAATGGAGCCCTGCAAAATGGCTTTGAGCCAAATGTCTCTCTCATATCTCCTACCCTTCTGACAGACTCTGCTTGGAGACCAACTGGCTACTTCTCAGTTCTTAGTCCTTTCTCTGGTCGGAAGTTGAAGAAGACCACCAGACAGAGGATGATGTGGCTTCTCAATAACTGCTTTAGTTCCCTTTAGTAAGAGAATCTTAATATTCTGTATTTGATGCTCTTCAGTTTCATTATGATGTGAATATGAAACCCAAAAAACCAAACCCGTTGCTGTCGAGTTGATTCTGACTTGTAGTGACCCTATAGGACAGAGCAGAACTGCCCCATAGGGTTTCCAAGGAGCGGCTGGTGGATTTGAACTGCCGACCTTTTGGTTAGCAGCCGAGATCTTAACCACTATGCCAATTTATTTTTACTTATTCTGCCCAAAATCCAATGTGCTTTTTCAATCTGAGCACTTATGCTCCTTCAATTCTGGTAAATTTTCTGCCATTATCTCTATAATATATTGCCTCTCCCTCATTGTTTCTATCCTGTCCTTCAGAACTCCTGTTAAATTTATATTGTATTTTCTCATTCTATTCTTCACATTACCTTGATTTCACTTTCATAATTTTTGTTTCCCTCTTTCTTTGCTTCTGTGAGGTTTCCTCAGATCTATCCTCCAAATCACCAGTTGTCTCTGTAGTCGTCTATTTTGTTTTAAACTTGTCTACTGAGTTTTTAATTTTAACAACTGTTTTTCATTTCCAAAATTTCTATTCGGTTCCTTATTTTTCCCAGTGTTATCTTCCTTCCTTATGGATTCTATTCATTCTTTTATCTCTTTGAACTTTTTATTTATTGTGCTTTAAGTGAAAGTTTACAGCTCAAGTTAATTTCTCATTTAAAAATTTATACACATATTGTTTTGTGACATTGGTTGCAATCCCCATAATGTGACAGGAACTTTATGGTTTTAAATTTAACATTTAGGTCTTTGATCCATTTAAATTGGTTTTTGTGTATGGTGTGAGCTGTGGATCTTGTTTCATTTTTCTTCACATGAGAATCCAGTTTTTCTAGCACCATTTGTTGAAGAAACTGTTCCTTCCCCATTGAATGGATTTGACACTCTTATTGAAAATCAATTGACCATAGATTTCTTTAGATTTATTTCTGGATTTACAATTATCTCTTTTTTTAATAATCATAAATACTGTTATCACACCTCACAGAATTAGTAATTCCTGTACCAGTTGCTGTCAAGTCTATGCCGACTCATGGCAACCTCATGTGTGTCAGAGTAGAACTGTGCTCCATAGAGTTTTCAGTGGTTGATTTTTCAGAAGTAGATCACCAGGACTTTCTTCTGAAGCACTTCTGGGTGGACTCAAACCTGCAACCTTTTCCTTAGCAGCTGAGTGTATTAACAGTTGCTCGTTTCCACCCAATTTTCTTTAAAAAAAAAAAAAGTCTTTTTACTGTGTTCAAATCAGGATCCAAACAAGGTCAACATGTTATATTTTGTTGAGAAACGCCTTATGTCTCTTTTAATGTCACTTGAAATAGTTCCTTTCCTTGTGGTTGTTTATTTGATTCAGTATACAGTAGGTTCATTTCCTTAATTTTTCTTTCAACTCTTAGGGATTGCTCCTTTTAAATTTTGATTTTGTTTCATAATTATGTGAACTACGTGGTTTCAGGGAGTCCCTGGGTGGTGCAAATGGTTGGTGGTTCGAACTCACCCAGAGGCACCTTGGAAGACAAGCCTGATGATTTGCTCCCAAAAGGTCACAGCCTTGAAAAACCTATGGAGCAGTTCTAATCTGCACACGTGGGGCCGCCGCATTGATTGCCACATGGGGCAATCAACATTAATATGGTTTCAAGTTGTACATATAGATCAAAGTATATTCAAAGAAATCTAGCTTCCCTCCCTGTCTCCTCCACCCTATTCCCTCCCTCTCTCTATAGGAAACCTTTTTTTTTTTTAATGGTATGGCTTATTTCTTACATTTTAAAAAATATATGCAGGTATGTATACATATTTCCCCTTTTAGATAAGTGATAGCATACTATACAAACTTTTCTCTACCTTGCTTTTTTATTTAACACTCCATAACAGTTCTTTAGAGATTCCCATTTCTTCTTACAGCTGCATAAAAAAACCCAAAACCAAACCCCCTTGCCTTTGAGTAGATTCTAACTCATAATGACCCTATACGGCTGCATTAAAAAAAAAAAAAACACAAAACCAAATCTGTTGTTGTAAAGTCTATTTCGACTCATAGCGACCCTATAGGACAGAGTAGAACTGCCCCATAGGGTTTCCAAGGACCAACTGGTAGATTTGAGCTGCTGACCTTTTGGTTAGCAGCCAAGCTCTTAACCACTGTGCCACCAGGGCTCCATAGTACTCTATCGTGTGACGTACTATAATTTATTCAACTAGTCCTCTGTTGATGGGAATTTGGGTTATTCTCAAGTTTTTGCTTTTACAAGTAGTGTTGCAGTGAAGAGCCCGTGCAAATGTCATTTTGTATTTTTTGCCAGTTATCTTTGGGATAGACTCTTAAAAGTGGGATTGCTGAGTAAAAATGTGTTTGATAAGTAAATTTGCCAGATACTGCCAGTTTCATCTCCCATAAGGTGTCGTACCGTTTTGAATTCCCACCAGCAATGTGTGAGTGTACTTTCCTTTCAGCTTTACCAGCAGAATATGTTGTCAAACTTTTGGATTTGTGCCAGTCTAAAGGTAAAAATTATATTTCAAGTAGCTTTAATGCACATTTCTCTTATTATGAGTGTGGTTGATAAGTTGTTTTTCATAAGTTCTTTGCTATGTTTCCTAAAATTTTAGTATATTTTCTCATGTTTCATTTACCTGTAACTGTTGCCTACTAAAAATTGTGCCTTCTGGACCAAAAACTGTATGAGAAGGGATTGATTCTTTTTCTTAGGAATTTGTAGATTTCAGAGTTTTGGTTATGATAATCAAATTTGGCACTTGAACAGAAGTTTAAAAGTTTGCGTATTTATAATTCATTTTGATAATGTTATTGATCTGTGGTTGGCTGGTAACCTGGTTAAAAAAAAGTGTAGATCAAGATGTATTTTGCCTTTATTTTCCTGTTCTTCCCAGTTCCCTCTGGCTCCATGTTATGCTCGCCTTTAACCAGAAGGGGCCACTAGAATCTACTAAGAGAACACCAACAACAAAAAAACCCCATTGCCGTCGAGTTGATTTTGACTCATAGTGAACCTCTAGGACAGAGGGTTTCTAAAACTAAGGCTGTAATCTTTACGGAAGCAGACTGCCAAGTCTTCCACAGAGTGGCTGGTGGGTTCAAATAGCCGACCTTTTGGTTAGCAGCTGAGTGCTTAACCAGTGTGCTACCAGGGCTCCTAAGGAGCAGAAGGGCTGACGAAATGTGGCTGTTCTAAGATGTGATTGCAAAAAGGTCATTTTTTAATAGCTCTGCAGTTACTATTTAATCTTGCTAGCTTGAGAGTGTTATATGAAGATTTCAGGATTGAAAGAAACCAAATATTTAAGGGCAAGAAAGTGTCTACGGCATTTACTTTAGATATTTTCCCCATCATATTCTATCTCCTTTAAATTAAAAAAAATAAACTTTTGGAGAATTATAGTTAACTGTGTTGCTTGATGTCTGTTGAGCCAACACATAACTTTAACTACTGTGTAAAACCCTAAAAAAAAGACATGGTCCCTGCTCTCTAGGAGATGATGTCTTTGGGGAATGTTTATTACAAGCTTTAATTTTTTTTTTCCTAACCCTTTTCAGTTTGCAGGCCTTTCAGATGTATCCATCTCACAAGACATCCCCGTAGAAGGAGAAATCACCATTCCTATGAGATCCCACATTCAGGAATTTGACAGTTCTACCTTAAATGAATCTGTTCAGAATACCATCGTAAGTTAGACTAATTGAGAGAACTTCTGTTCAGTATCGTGGGAATAAATAAGTAATAGCACTTCGTAATATTTCTGTTTGGTTCACTGACTTTCATTGCATTTTACTTATTTAGGGTTTCCCCCCAGAGAATAATATGGTACAGCCTTTTTGGAAAGCAGTTTGGCTATCATGGATATTAGGAATTTTAAAATGTTCAAATCTTTTTAAACCAATAATTCTACCTCTCCAAATATAGCATAAGGAAAATTTTTTAAAATACTGAAAATATTAATATACAACGATGTTCATTGCTGCATTTTTTATAATAGGAGAATGTTAGAAACAGTGTAGAGGAAAAACAATAGAAGGGATATTGATTACATAAATTATGTTACGTCTGTGGGGTGGAATGCTAAATAACCATTAAAAATCATGTTTACAAAGAATTTTTAATGACATGGGGAAACTTCTAGGTAAAAGAACAAGGACAGAATGATCTCAGCTATATTTTGAAAGCTTATGTTTACATTACTATATCCTTCCTCAGATATTTTCATCTTTTTATCTGGCTTCTGGGATTCATCTGCCAGTTAAATTGAGAATGTTGGAAATTAATTTATTTTATATATTACAAAGAGTGTGGTAGCTAGGGAGCAGGTTACTTGGCCCTGGTACCTCATCATGTACTAATTGAATTGCAGATACTATGTTTTGCAGAGCAGCTTTTAGTAGTGCTATTTTAGTTTTTTTAAACATATTCCAACCAAGCAACCCACTGCTGTCAAGTTGATTCCAACTGATAGCGACCCTATAGGACAGAGTAGAACTGCCCTATAGAGTTTTCAAGGCTGTAAATCTTTATGAAAGCAAATTGCCACATCTTTCTCCCGTGGAGTGGCTGTTGAGTTCGAACCGCCAACGTTTTAGTTAGCAGCCAAGTCTTTTAACCACAGTGCCACCAGGGCTCCTTTTAAACATATTAGGAGGGTTATATTTCTCTTTTACAAAGTTTTCACAATCAAAACAGAGCTGGTGGATGTGGGAAAGTATTAGATGTTGGCTTAAGGAGTTAATAGAATAAGCATACCTTGCCTCTCTGGTTTATCAATATAGTGGAGTTGCACTGGAATTGTAGCTCGAAAATTCAGTGAAGGTCTCCAGGAGATTGAAGTAAAAGAAATTTTAGCAAATTAAGTTAGGGGGGCCTGCCTGGCAACCTTGGTCATCACAATACAAAAAATTGTTTATGTCTTTCAGATGCGTGATTTAAAAGCTGTTGGAAAAAAATTCATGCATGTTTTATACCCAAGAAAAAGTAATACTCTTTTGAGAGATTGTAAGTATAAAGGTTTTTGGGAATTTGCTTCTTCCTACTGTACCATATCAAGATAAAAAATATGTAAATGAAATACTTGGAAGAAATTAAAAATTTAGAATAAAATTTCACAGGGTGGAAGATTTTGCTTAAGATACTGTTCTCATTGATTTGTATAGACTGTATACCCTCACCTGGAAAATGCTATAATAGACACTGCAAGAAATAGTTCAGAAAGCTGCTAACTGTTCGGCCAAAGAGCTAACAATCTCTAGAGGAAAGGCAAAATGTTTAAATTCAGAGTTAGAATTATTAATAGCTAATACCCATTAAGGATTAACAAATTAATAGTACCTTTATTGACATTTCTATTTTCAAAACTATCATTTAATCTGCTGACTACTTTCTTTGTTAAAGAGTTCTATCAGAGCAGTGTTTGCAATAAATTATACTCTTATTTAGAATTTATTCTTAAAATTGTTAGATCTCTTACTTTTCAAGCAGTCTTGTTTTTCTTAGTATCCTTTATCAGAAAATTTAAATCAGAGACTAGTAATAATGATGTTCATGAGTATACCTTCTATTTTGGCAGCATTTCAGCAGTAACATAAGAGATGTCAAATATGTGGCAAGCATACCACCATTCCCTGTGGAGACTAGATGCAATGTCAGAATATTTCTCAACATAGTGCACTATGGATTTGAGCTGTCAGATGATTGGAAACTGATTTTCTAACCCTGGTATAGTGGAAAGATCATGGACAAATCTGGGTTTGAATAGTGGTTCCATCACTTACTAGCTGTGTGATCTTGGATGAGACAGTTCTCTGAGATTTAAGTTTCTTCATCTGTTAAAGTGGAGATAATAACATGTACCTTCCTGGTAAGGAGTACCTGGGTGGCACAAACGGTTAAGCACTCAACTACTAGCTGAAAGGTTGGCAGTTCGAACCCACCCAGAGGCACCTTGAAAGGCAGGCCTGGTGATCTGCCTTGAAAACCCTATGAAGCAGTTCTACTTTGCTAGTGAGTATTAGAGATAATAATGTATATACATCACCTAGCACAGCATCTAGCATTAGTAGGCACTCCATAAGTGGTAGCCATTATTCTAGTACTTTTCCCCTCATACACATTATCTTATTTAATCCATACAACAACCTTGTGAGGTAGGGAATATTATTCCTATTTTACAGGTGAGGAAAATGAGTCTCAGAGAAGCTGACTGTCTTGCCAACATCACACAGGCAGGATTAGAACTGAGTGTTCAAGTTCAGTGCCCTTTCAACTTTACCGCTGCTGTCCCAGATGTAGAAATGTCCTTTCACCTGCCACTGGGACTCACTCAAAGCAGAGCTGCTCAATCATAATGCAGAATTAACCTATCATTTACTCAGGGCACATCATGAATATGCATGTTATCATGGTGCCATGTGTTAGTTTGCTGATTATTGATGAGTATTGGCTATGTCATATGTATGTTAAAGGTCCATTCCTAAACCTTGGGCTGGCACAAAGGATGAGCAAGTCATGGCCAGAGAATTACACTTCTGCCCTACTCTGTTATCATAGCCCTTGGCAAAGTGGCAGGGAAAAATTCATGACTTAAATAATAATTTAAAAATACTGTTACGGATTTTTTTTATTGTGCTTTAGGTAAAAGTTTACAGCTCAAGTTAATTTCTCATTCAAAACTTTATACACATATTGTTTTGTGACATTGGTTGCAATCCCCACAACCTGACAACATGCTCCCCTTTTCCACCCAGGGTTCCCTGTGCCCATTTGTCCAGTTCCTGTTATAGATTTTTTTAATGAATTAAAAAAATTTCAGTGCACTAAAAAACGCTATTGATGTCATTGCACTTGAACTTAGTTTTTCAGCTGATAAGTTAAAAAAAACTGGTAGGAATGCCAATAGTTTAATTAGAGTGGCAGGATTTTACCTCTTTTTCAAACTTTCTGCAGTGGTTTCAAAATTACCTAGATAATTTTTAAAAAAATACAATGGAAATATGTATGTATGCATACTTAGGTAAAGTTGTATACATATGAGGTTAAAGTTAGGTGTGGGATGTGTACCTTTTTTCAAATTAGTTGAGGAAAGTAATTGTGCTCTAAGCTGTGTGTTACTAAACTTTTGGCATACTAATCAATCAACTCAGTTGTTGATTGAGAGGCATTGTGTGCTAGACTTGATGTTGGCATAACCTTTTATAGTTTTTTAAAAAGCTTTCATATGTTATCTGTTAAAGTTGAACCTTATGAAATTGCCAATATTGGGCTATTTTTTAAACTGTAAGAACAGCAATACTGTATTGATTCAATGTAACAATTACAAAAGGGAAGCAGAGTGGAAAGAACTATGGACTAGGAGTCAGAAAACATATGTTCTGGTTCCAGCTCCACCTCTGACTGTCTTTATAGCCTTGGGCAAGTCATTTCCCTCTCTGCTTCATTTTTCATATTCATGAAATGAGCATGATAATACTTGCCTTGTCTAATGTAGTCTCAGATTGGTGAAGTGACTTGGTTGTAGTCTTCCTGAAGGTAGGGAGGCAGGGTACCTAGGTCTTTGGATCCTTTTCCATTGGTTTTTAACATGAAGAGCCACATACAGCATGCTGGAATGTGGCTTAGTAGATCAGGAGAGGGGTGATTTCTGGCATATGAAGTGAACAAAACCTCTAATACATGAATGGGAAAGAAGTATATTCAGAATTGGGGAATAGGAAGGGAAGCAGAGGGATAGAAGATGTGGGAAGGCTGGCTTGGGTTAACAGAATAAAGGGAGAGAACACTACATGCTTCTTTTCATAGCAATCTTCTGTCTTTTCTTGCCTTATAGGGGATTTATGGGGCCCTTTGATCCTTTGTGTGACACTCGCATTGTAAGTACTTGCATTTCCTTTCTTTGTCATTTAAGGTAGATTAGATCTTTTTGATGGAGCCCTGGTGGTACAGTGGTTAAGAGCTTGGTTGCTAACCAAAAAGGTTGGCAGTTCAAATCCACCAGCCGCTCCTTGGAAACCCTATGGGGCAGTTCTACTCTGTGCTGTAGGGTCGCTATGAGTCGGCACTGACTCAATGGCACCTAACAACAGCAACAGATCTTTTTGTGGAGTATCAAAATTTAGGGAAATTTTGATCAAATATTTCATTTAGTACTTTTATGATACTGTACTCCTTATGTATTTAAACCAAAAAAGTCAGGTAACCTTTCAGATCAATTCAAAGAATGATGGTTTAAAGATTTGAAAATTATGCCCACTTTTGATTACCAATGGCTTCTTAGCCTGTTTTAGCCATTTCTATTCAGCATGCATTTATTTACTGTCATCCACCTACCCATCATTAAACTAAGTGAATTAAATATCTGTAAGTTTAAGCACCATTTGCTTGGGAACATAATTCTTTTTAAATCTTCCTAAAAGTAGGAATTAGCATAAGAACAAATTAGAGAGAAAGAAGTGGTAGAGTTAAAAGCAAGATTATGTTTCAAAGTGTTATTCTTTCCATACATGTTGTATGTGAAAGGGGAGGACGAAAGGAGAGCAAGGTTCCACTGGAGAGGGGAATATAACCATTGGTAGAGTGGAAAACATATTGTAGTAGATTCATTTCTGGGTTCTTGTCCTGACTCTGCTGTCAGGCAGCTGCGTGACTCTGGGTTACTAATAACCAAAATTTGTATAATGACTTTTCTCAGTTTACAGAAAACTTTTAAATACCTTCTCTTATTTGATTCGCATAACAAGAAGTCAGTATTATTTTCCTCTTGTGAAAAATGGCATGGCGGCAGCATGAGACCTCATCTAATTTCACAAGGGGGAGAGAGAATCATTATCAGCGTCAACAGCCCAAGGCTGATTCCTATGAGGTGGAGGTTACACATCCCTCCACACTCCAACCTTTTTACCAATTCTGACACTAGCCGGCACTCTCTGCTTCTCTGCTGGTTTCAATAATTTGTTGCAATGGCCACATAGAACTCACAGACAATAAGACAATACTCATGATTATGGGGTTTATTAGGAAAGTAGCAGGTTATACTTCAGGATCAGAAATGACTCAGGATAACTCAGGATACAGTTCTTCGATCAGGACAGCCTCTTCTCAGCTGTGCCTGCAGGTAGGCCTCTGTCTCTGACCCTCGGCCCTTTGGCACCTTAGTCTGGCCTCTGCCCTGCTCAGACAAGTGTTACAAATCTCTTTGGCTCTGCCAATAAATGCCTGGGGACACCCCACTCTGCCGGTAAGCCTCAGTCTGAAGGAGCTCAGTTGTCTTGCTCTGTGGGTCAGCACATCCACTATAGCTGCCTTGCTCCATGGACTGGGAATCCCACCATGCTGTCTCATGCCAGTCTTCTGGTTCTGCTGCTGCCAGTTCTCTGCTGTGCTTGCTGCTGCTTCTCGCTGTCTTGTGCCATCTCTGGTGTTACAGGTCTCTGTCTCCTGGGTCTAGGAGGTTTTCAGCACAGGGATCCCAGGTCCAAAGGGCGTGCTCCATTCCTAGCTCTTCTTGGTGGTAGTGGGTCCCCCCCACCCCCACTCTGCTCACTTTTCTCTCCTTTATTTCTTGTAAGATGAAAGATGTGATTCAAGTAAGGATGTGACCTGAATAAGGGTGGTGATTTGAGTCATACCCTATAGTAAGGCAGTGACTCAAGATATATCCCACCCTAATCCTGCCTCATTAACATAACAGACAACTCACTCCCAAATGGGACCATAACCACAGGCATAAACCAGAGAACCAACCCCATTGCCATCAGAGGCTAGGATTTACAACACATCACGAAACGGAGGAAGACTACATCATTATGTAACTGCCAAATAATTACATCATTACATCACTGTCAAACCACTAGAAATCATGTCCCAGCCAATTTGACACGTAACCTTAACCATCCATCACAGATTCCATATACATTATTTGCATAGTCTGAATCAATCATGTGGAGGCACAAAGACTATGGCTAGAAGGGCCGTATTAAGTAATTCACTGCACCGCCCCTCTTTTGACAGATTCGTATTCAAAGAGGTCAAGGACTTAACCAAGATCACACAATTAGTGGTAGACCTTGGATTTAACCCCAGGTATCCTGACTTACAACGCCTCTTCCCGCCTTAACCTTCTGGATCTCCTCTTCCATATATCTATTACAGGAAATCGTTGAGGGGGTCTTTCCAGGCCTAATCTTTTATGATTCTAAATTCAAGTTTCTTATTGGCTTCCCTACTTAATTTTTTTAATTTAAATTGAGCATGTGCTAAAGTAGGTAATACTGTAGAGTGTTATTTCTTATGCTTTTAATAACCACACCCAGGGAAGTACTCCAGTGCCTTGATGGGAGGGTTTATATTAGAAGCTCTGAGCATATCCCTTTTTTAAAAAAATTTTATTGTGCTGTACATGAAAGTTTACAGTGCAAATCAGTTTCTCATTCCAAAATTTATACACAGATTGTTTTGTGACATTGGTTGCAATCTCCCCCTTTCCCTTTAGTCCCCGAGGGATAAGCTTTTTTAAAAAAGGAAATACATTGCTTATAAAAATTAAGGAATTTATGATCTTATCTTCTCGAACATGTGAATATCTCAAACAAAAAGAAAAAAAGAAAACTATCAACATCATTATATGATAAAGTTAGCACACTTCAGTAAAATGTTTAAGAAAAAAAATCGCTTGAGAAGAATGTTTTTGCTTTTGTACGCATTGAATATGTTAAGTGAAGAAATGCCTCTATTTTTTGGGCAAAAGAAGAAATTTTGAAGGAAAGAATTTCAAGGAAATGAAGGAGTGGATTTTGAAAATTGTAATAATGTATCAAAGTTACAAATAGCTAAAGTGAAAAATAAAATTAAAGATAAGGAGAAGAGTAAAACCTCTCAAGACAAGGAAAAATGTGCTTTGCTAGATTTTAATGAAAATAAAGGAATTTGTTAACTATCTCTTACCTTCTTCCAAACTTATGGATGTTGTTCTTTACTAGAAAAAATTTATAGGCAAAAAAAAAGAACAAAAAAGGCAATAATGTAAAGAATAGATGTACTCGGAGAATAGTAGTGATGCACAATATGCACTTACACACAGTAGCAATGCAAAAGGAAGTGGAAGACTGAGCAGTCATCTCTGACTCTTGTACTTCTTGGAACTATTTCTGGCTTTTGCATCTGTACTTCCTCGTATTTGGGTTGCAATGCCAACAATTTTATGATTCCATCTGCTTCTCACAGGTTCCGACTTTCAGAGAATATTTATTAGGCTGAAGTAATTGTTTTAGTCGAAAATATTTGAGTTTTCCTTCTCTAACAGGTTTCTGCCTTACACACCTTCCAGTGTTCACGGGTTTTACTGTATGTCATGGATTGAATTTGTGTCCCCCAAAAATATGTGTATCAATTTGGCTAGTATTGTGTGATTGTCCACCGTTTTGTCACCTGATGTGATTTTCCTGTGTTGTAAATCATACCTTTATGATGTTAATGAGGTGGGATAGTCTGCAGTTGTGTTGGTGAGGCAGGACTCAATCTACAAGATTGGATTTTGTCTTGAGGCAATCTCTTTTGAGATATAAAAGAGAGAAGAAAGCAGAGAGACAGGGGGACCTCATACCACTAAGAAAGCAGTGCTAGGAGCAGAGCTTGTCCTTTCAACCTGGGATTCCTGTGCAGAGAATCTCCTAGTCCAGGGGAAGATTGATGAGAAGGACCTTCCTCCAGAGCCGACATAGAGAGAAATCCCTCCCCTGGAGCTGACGCCCTGAATTTGGACTTTTATCCTACTTTATTGTGAGGCAATAAATTTGTCTTCTTTAAAGCCACCCACTTGTGGTGTTTCTGTTACAGTAGCACTAGATAACAAAGACAGAATTTGGTACCAAGAGTGTAGGGTGCTGCTCTAACATATTCCTAAGATGTGAAAGTGGTTTTGAAACTGTGAATGGACTCAGAGGACTCAGAAGGAAATGAGGAGAACCAGCAGCAGCAGAACCTGACCCACAGAGCGAGAGAGCTGAGTGCCTTCTGGCAGAAGTTTACTGGCGGAGTGGGGTGCCTCCAGGCACGTATCAGTGGAGCTACAGAGCTTTGGAACACTTGCCCCAGAAGGGCAGATGTGGGCATGAGGCACGAGGGGCCAAGAGGCCAAGGAACCAGGAAACAGAAGCTGAAGAGACAAGGAACACAAGAAGCTGAGCTGCCTCAGTCTCAAAAGGTATGGCCATGACCTCTGGGGTTTCAAAGGGTGGAGCCGCCACTCAGATGGACTAAGAGAATGGTGGGCCTAAAGCCAAGGGAGCAGAGTTGCTGTCTCAGTGGGCCTGGAAGGTGGAGCTGAAGCCCAGGGCCAAGGGGCCTCTGCTCAGTATCCAGAGAGTGTGGCCAATACCTAGAGTCTGGAGGGCAGGGCCATTGTGTAAATTGTCTCAGAGAAGAGAGGATTGTTTTCAAAGCCTTGATGGCTAATGTAATGTGTTCTGCTGACTTGCTTGTTGCCTGTTATCCCTCGTTTCCCTCCAGTTTCTCCCATTGGTAATGGAAATGTCTAGCTTGTGCCTGTTCTGCCATTGTACCTTTGGAAGCAGATAACTTGTATTCCAGATTTCACAGATGAAGAGATATTTTTGGATTTTGGACTTGGAGTTGAGACTTTTTCTATGATACGGGGTGAATATGTTTTGCATGTGGCAAGGATGTGAGTTTTGGGGGGCCAAAGGGTGGAATGTCATGGATTGAATTTTGTCTCCCAAAAATATGTGTATCAATTTGTCTAGGCTGTGATTCCCAGTATTGTGTGATTGTCCACCATTTTGTCATCTGATGTGATTTTTCTGTGTTGTAAATCCTACCTCTGTGATATTAATGAGGTGGGATAGTCTGCAGTTGTGTTGGTGAGGCAAGACTAAGTCTACAAGATTGGATGTGTCTTGAGGCTATTTCTTTTGAGATATAAAAGAGAAAAGCAAGCTGGGAGACAGTGGGACCTCATACCACCAAGAAAGCAGTGCCGGGAGCAGAGCGCGTCCTTTGGACCTGGGGTTCCTGCGTGGAGAAGCTCCTAGTCCAGGGGAAGATTGATGAGAAGGACCTTCCTCCAGAGCCAACAGAGAGAGAAATCCTTCCCCTGGAGTTGACGCCCTGAATTTGGACTGTTAGCCTACTTTATTGTTAGGAAATAAATTTCTCTTCTTTAAAGCCATCCACCATGTAGTATTTCTGTTATAGCAGCACTAGATAACTAAGACACTGTACTACATAATAAGAGGTTGTGAGCTTCATGTTGTTATTTTCCTGGAAAAAATAACAGTCCAAGTATTCAAAGTCCAAAATTCAAAGCAGTTTATATTATAAAATTCCTAGACAAAGAGAGGATATTTAAGTGACTATTCAACTATCCAAATTCAAAGCAAAGTCTCTTAGTAATAATCTGTATTTTTTATCTTAAAAAAATCAATAATGGGTTTATAGACTTTCCATTTTTAATTCCATCTTTAAAGGAAGGATTACAAATTCAAATGTATCTAAGGGCCAGATAAGTAACCTAAATGTGTGAAGTAGGCTGGGTGGTAAGCTGTTGACTGTAAGCTCCTTGTGAAGGGACCTGATGCTATTTAAGCTGCACCTGGTGTTGCCATGTAGATCTGCAGGCCTAATGTTAGCAGATCTTCTGATTATTCAAGAAAAGCCAGAAATTCAGATTTTTATATGGAACCTCCTAATGTTAAAATAATGTCAACTTGAATTTAAAAACATTTTAAGTATTGTATGGACCAAAAATCTCATGTCTGTAAGCCACATTTGGCCCTTCAGTTTGTAACCTCTGCTTAACCAAAAAAGGTCTTCAGTAGTCCATTTAAAGATTCCAGCAAGGTGTAAGTGGAGCACCCCTTATAGTTTGGGGCATTTGGAATTTGAAGTAAGGGGACCTTGCCAAATATTTCTGGCATTTTCCTTTCAGCACCACCTGTATATTACAGATCTTCAGGTGAGGAATAGAGCAGCTCCATGACTCAAAGCTTCAGGACCCACACCTTCACTTTGTTATTCTAAATAAAAGAGTAGGCAATTCTCATGCTATTTTTCTCTGTCTCAGAATGCTTCAAAGAGGCTCTGCAGATAGTGAAAAAGATGGAGGGCCCCAGTTTGCAGAAGTATTTGTTATTGTCTGGTTTGGTGCAGTTACTATCACCCTCAACACAAAACTTCTTGGAGGAAACATGTGAGTATCATTAAACTCCAATCTCTTTTTCCCTTGCCAGGTGGCGTATCTTAGATTTTAGGGAAGCCAGGCTAGCTAGACATTAAAAAATAAAATAAATGAGGGCCAAAGAGAAAGTTCTTTTAAGACCACTGACTAAACAGAGATGACCTAGTTGAATTAAATTATCGGCAGTCCTTTGATAAGCTTCAGGTGCTGTCTCCAGCCCCTGAGATTTCAGGCAGACTTTTATATACATTTTTGGGGGCAGATGGTCTATAGCTTTCAACAAACCCTCAAATAGGGCTATAAAGTGGAAAGGATTAAGAAACACCACCTTAGAAGTTCAGTGGGAGAGGGAGGTCTCTGGGGATTAGAGTGGATCTTTTGGTATCCTAGATGGTTGACTCTTAATGGGGATTAAGAAGACAGGAGGAGGTATGGAGAAAGAAAATGAAAGCATGTGCTTAATACAGAGAAATACTCTTATAAAATTTATGTTAGGGTATAGGCATTATGTATCTGGAGGGAGAAAACAATCCATAATATATAGAAATATGTGTAACAAGCTGTATCGTGGTACAGATCAGCTATATTTATGATCTTTATGGATATGTGGTATTTTTAGATCTTTTTTTCAGAGCCTTTGTGTCCTGGGTTACTGTATACTTCCCTTGACGGTGGCAATGCTGATTTGTCGGCTGGTACTTTTGGCTAAGCCAGGACCAGTAAACTTCGTGGTTCGGTTTTTTGTGGTGATTGTGATGTTTGCCTGGTCTATAGTAGGTAAGAATGTACTTACATCTTCAATACTAGAGCAGACAACAATATAGGTTACAGATAAAGACCAGATGAGGAGCAGTATAACTTCTAGCTCAGATGTGAGTGATATGATTACTACCAGTGTCATCCATAGAACCCTCTAAGTAGGAGAGTAGTTATTAATGGGGATGGTATCCATCTTATCTGAGTTGGGTATCTGGACTTTTAAGGTATTGAGAGTTACATCTTTTTTTTTTCCTTTAAATAATGGACAGGGTTGGGAAAGGAGATTATGGACTTAGCTTAGTCCTGATATATAGGAGGCGTAGGTGACTTATGAAGTGACTTGGGCCTTTTCTTGACAACTAATCATAATAAAAATATAGCTAACAAAAAAGAAAAAAAAAACAGTTGCCATTGAGTCAATTCCAACTCATGACCAACCCCACGTGTGTCAGAGTGGAACTGAGCTCCATAGGGTTTTCAATGACTGATTTTTCAGAATTAGATTACCAGGACTTTCCTCCAAGGCACCCCTAGGTGGACTTGAACTCCAGCCTTTCAGTTAGCAGCTGAGTGCGTTAACTGTTTGTACCACCTAGGGATTCTGGCTAACATTTACTGATCCCTTATTATAGGCAAGGCATTGTTCTAGGTGGTTTGTGTGTATTATCTCATTTAACCCTCACAGCAACCTCAAAAGATAAATACTGTTATTAGTCTGATCTTATAGATAAGGAAAGGTCTCAGAGCGGTTAAATAACTTGCCCTAGGACATATGACTAGTGAGTAGGAGGGTCAAATTTCAAACCCAAGCAGATCACTCACCCTTAAGAATTATACTACCTTCCAGCATAGGTCATGTCTCTATGTAGTGCTCTTCTGCTTCAGTAGAAAGTGGTGCTAAAGATTAGGACTTGTCTGTGGCAGTGTCTGCAAATGGTGCCTATATGGTTAAGAACTATATGCTCACTGCTTTTACATTCCTAAAATTCTCTTAAAGTAGAAAAGCCACCTTAAACTAGAGGTGTTCACTAGCTCCTAATTTGATAGGATAGGGGACCCTGCATAAAATTTGAAAGTATAATAATATCTCATTGCTCTGGAACGTGGTTGAAAGCCAAGAAGTAATCCAAAAAAGATCTGAGAGAGCCAGAATTCTGTTCCAAAGGCTGTATATTATGCTTAAGTATATAATCCATGGAGAGCTCCCCACACCTCATTTCCTCACTTAGACTCTGACAATTTACCATACATGTGGTTGTAACTGACTTTGTTATCTAGTATCCATACCCATAGTAGATCAGAAACTAGCATCTAAGAAGTAGGGAGAAAGGCTATTGTAAGCATTTTTTCTTTAATTCAGAAAATGTTTATTAAGCACAAACTGTGTCAAGCACTGTGCTAGACAATGGGGATGCACATGGTCTGTATCCTTGGGGTTCACAGTAAAATGGGGCAGGCAGACACGTAAACACTTAAGGACAATAAAGCGTTCCAGGTGAGAGATGTAAGTCTGCGCAAGGTATAGGTGGGGACACAGAAGAGGGTAGTGAACAGTTCTACCTGGGGCGGCAGAATACCAGGTGGTTGTTAAGGAAATTTTTTCTGTAGGGGTGATCCTTGATGAGTAAAAAGATGAGTAGATATTTTCTGGATGAATAAGAGGGATGGCATTTAAAAGAGCTGATAACTTAATAAGAGCAGTTACTCACAAAGCACAGCAGTATTAGGCTGTTTACCGTAGGTGCAAATAACCTTACACATCGTTATAAGTCCATTCAGCATAGTTCATTAACTTTTAAAAAAAAGCATTAAAATATATTCTGCATACAACTTAAGATGATAGGGGAGTGTAGTACCCCGTTTAGAAAGGTTTCCATCTAAAATGTTTGAAAATTTTAAAACCTTTAGTACTTGAAATAAGAAGCCCCCAGCTGTCTGCAAAACTGCTAAAGAATGCTTTCTTCTCTGAGGATTACAAATACAACTGAATTTTTACTATGATTCTGTGTTCCAGACTATGCCAAGTACATTTAGTTAGCAAATGTGAGTAGTTGTGACAATATTATTGTATTAAATATTCCTTTTTTTATTTTGTTTTGTTTAGCCTCTACAGCCTTTCTTGCTGATAGCCAGCCTCCAAATCGCAAAGCCCTTGCTGTGTATCCTGTATTCTTGTTCTATTTTGTCATCAGTTGGATGATTCTCACCTTTACTCCTCAGTAAATCAGGAAATGGAAATTAAAGACCAGTGAATTGAAAGCTCATTGGAATGATGCAATTCACCATGGAGCTTTGCCTCTGAGCCTCTTTTGTCTAATTTTGGAGATATTTGGTAACTTGGTAGGTGAGGAGATTAAAAGGGAGTCATATAGCACCATTGCCACTTATGTAAGGAACAGATGTTAGAAAGACCACCCTTTTCCTCTTAAATGTTGTTTGTTTAAAATCCACGCACAAAGTACACACATAATATAATGCCTCCTGAGGCATGATGGAGTCACTGTGGTTCATTTGGGTGACAACCAATGACTCGGGAAGCACATAGATACATCCTGCAAGATGAGTAGAGTCAGTAACTGTATTTCCAGTTTTAAGAATACCATTTCAGGTGCAACCCTTAATCATATTGCCTTATGACTATTTGAATATCCCTCTCTTCATAAACAAGAATGTGTAGTCTGTATCCATTTCAATTTATTTCTCTCTCTTAAAGTAAAAAAGGCAATGACAGAGGTTGGGAGGAGGGCTCTTAGATATGGGAGGAGAAACCATGTTGATCAGAGAAAATTCTGTACTTGTTGCTTTAAGAAAAGTGAAGGACATCCAAAGAATCAGCCTCTTTGGTCTTTTTCTGTGTTGTTGTTAGGTGCCATTGAATTGGTTCTGACTCATAGTGACTCTATGTACAACAGAACAAAACACTGCCTGGTCCTGCATCATCCTCACAATCATTGGTATGCTTGAGCCCATTGTTCTAGTCACTGTGTCAGTCCTTCTCCTTGAGGGTCTTCCTCTTTTTCGCTGACCTGTTTTACCAAGCATGATGTCCTTCTCCAGAGACTGATCTCTCCTGATGACATGTCCAGAGTACATAAGACAAAGTCTCACCATCCTTGCTTCTAAGGAGCATTCTGGCTATACTTCTTCCAAGACAAATTTGTTCGTTCTTCTGGCAGTCCATGGTATTTACAATGTTCTTTGCCAACACCGTAATTCAAAGGCGTCAATTCTTCTTCAGCCTTCCTTATTCATTGTCCAGTTTTCCCATGCATATGAGGCAATTGAAAACACCATGGCTTGGGTCAGGCGCACCTTAGTCCTTAAAGGGACATCTTTGCTTTTTAACACTTTTAAGAGGTCTTTTGCAGCATATTTGCCCAGTGCAGTGTGTCGTTTGATTTTTTGACTGCTGCTTCCATGGGCGTTGATAATGGATCCAAACAAAATGAAGTACTTGAAAACTTCAAAATTTTCCTCCATTCATCATGATGTTGCTTAGTGGTCCAGTTGTGAGGATTTTTGTTTTCTTTATGTTGAGGAGTAATCCATACGAAAGGCTGTGGTCTGTGATCTTCATCGGTAAGTGCTTCTAGTCCTCTTTTAGCAAGCCAGGTTGTGTCATTTGAATAACACAAGTTGGTAATGAGTCTTCCTCCAATCCTGGTGCCCCATTCTTCTTCATATAGTCCAGCTTCTCGGATTATGTGCTCAGCATACAGATTGTATAAGTATGGTGAAAGGATACAGTCTTGACACACACCTTTCCTGACTTTAAACCATGTAGTATCCCTTTATTCTGTTTGAAAGACTGCCTCTTGATCTATGTACAGGTTCCTCATGAGCACAATTAAGTGTTCTGGAATTCCCATTCTTTGCAATGTTATCCATAATTTG